CGCCGCGCCGCCGCCGAGGAGACGCGTGGCGAGCTGGAAGCCCTTGGGTGGGCCCGCTGGAGGCCGCGCCTACTCCAGCTGTTCGGCGAGATGAAGGTGTCCTCGCTTGAAGCGGCGCGGTCCTGCATGGAGGCAGGGCGGGCGCTGGGCGGCATAACGGGCCGCGCGCGCTTCAACGCGGTGAGGTCGTACGTGCGCGCGGGCGAGACGCTGCGCCGGTGGCTCCTGCGCGCACAGTGTCTCGTTGCCGAAGACGGTCGTGCACTTCGTCGGCTACATGAACGCCCGGGCGGCCTAGCCTTACGGGCCGACGGTGCCCAACCAGGCCCTCCGCGCCCTGGCCTGGGCCAAGCGCGCGGCGGTTGTCGACCCGAGCGTCTGGCAATCCGTTCGGCCGAAGGCCCAGCATGTCGTCGCGAACACGGAAGGTGCCCTTCGGCATTGGCAACGGTCCCACGATAAGGGCGGCCCATTTCGCTAGTGCGTTCATCGGGGCATTGGAGCAGTTGGTCGCGGGCGGCCTCACGAAGTACTTGCGCGGGGGCCGTAGCTCCGCCTCGTCAAGGCTGGGGCGGCGTTGCGCTGCGACGACCACGGCCGGCTGCCACCTCGGCGCCTCGCCTTCGCGCGCGGTGGCTCGACGGCCGCGCCGGCGCGGGCGAAGACCAGCGGCGCGGGGCGCAAGGTGCTAGAGCTGCCGCTGGCGGTGGCCCGCGAGGGCCAGATGAGGGCCCCGTCGCGGATCGAGACGGGCTCCTGCCCGTGGCAGGAGATCGCGGACTTCGAGCGGGCCCATTGCCTGCAGCGGCGCGGCGGCGCTGGCCAGGAGGCGGCCCGCAAGCGCGCCGAGGCGGCGGCGGCGGCGGACCCAAGGGGGTGCCCCAGAGAATGCTGGCGCCAGACTTGACGGGCGAGACCGCGGAGCCCCTCCGCCCCGCGGAGGTCGCGGGATTCTGGGCGGAGCTGCCGGGGTGGGCGACGACCCCGCGAGGGCCTCCGCCTCAGCGCCGGACGGGCGCCCGCCGCGCCCAGAGGTGATGGGCAGATAGGGGGCTGTGGAAGGCGGCGGCGACGGCGACACCGGAGGCTGCCGTCGAGGGCGCGAAGGAGGAGGTCGCCCAGCCGACGGAGATCGCGTCGCCCCCGAAGGGCGAGCAGGAGGCCCTGCGCGAACGCGACAGCGCCATGCGCGCGCTAGAGGCGGAGCTCGGCTTCGACGGCGGCGGATGGCAGGGCTCCCGGATCGGGGGCGGGGCGCGGCAGCCCCCGCCCGGGAGCGCGGGCCTCGAGGAGGCCAGCTGCGCGCGAAGAAGCGCAGGGTGGCCGGGCTGCGCGAGTTTGGCGGCCATGGCTGGGCTTCTCGCAGGACGCCGCTGGATGCGGCTTACTTCGGCGAGGTCTGGGGCCCGGCATCGTGCGACGCGGTCGGTCGGCACAGGGTGCCAGTGCCACTCCGCAAACTGATCGCAGTGGCAGCCTCCGAGAGCGGAGGCGAGGGCTCGGAGAGTTCGCCGAGCTCGGCGAGTTCTGGGGCGCCCGATGAGAAAGACCAGGCCGCGAGGGCCGATGGGGGGCGCCAGCCGAGGGGGCGGCTGCCCCGCGAGGCGGCCCGGGAGGTGGTCTGGCACGGAGATGTGGCACAAGCTATTTTAATTGTAGAGAAACAGCGCGCACCATTGCATCCAACACGCAGAACGGGCGCGCACGCGTTTCCGTCGCAGTAAGAGAACGCGCGAAACCCACGTGGACGACACTCGAACTAAATGGACTGCACCCGAACCGCATTCGACCCACACCCGAATTTTATGTGAATCGCATTCGGGCTAGACTTGCAGTACACCTGGGCCAGACTTGACAGTGCACTTGGATTTCACTTGGACCGCACTTGCAATGCACGGACTGCGCATGCACCCTGCTTGAGCTACACTTGAATTTCTTTCGAACCGCATGGGAATTACATTCGAACCCACTTAAACCACACGCGAACTAGTCCTGCACCTCGCGTGAACTACGCATAAATCGCAAGGGGTACGCCTGCGCCGCATTTGCACTACACCTGAACGGCACTTAAAAACAAAACACACGCTTAAACGACACGTGATCCACACTTGAACTACACTCGGACGACACTTGGATTACACTTGAACTAGACTTGAGCTGCACGGGGCACACCCTCATACATACTTGAATTGCACTTGAATTTCACTTGACTTAGACTACACTTGGAATACACGCGGGCTTCACACGAACTACGCCTGGCAAACGCACTTGAACTACACTTGAACTACGCCTGAACCACACTTGAAACGCACCTGCACCAGACCCGGACAATACTTGAACTTCACTTGCACCACACTTGAGCTACAGTTGAACTGCATTTGAACTACAAGGGCATCGCTTGTACCACACTTGAGCTACACCTGGTTCGCACTTGCGTCGCACTTGAACTACGCTGGAATTACGCTTGAGCTGCGCTCGAAATACACTTGAACCACGCGTGGACTAGAAGTGATACGCCTGTACCACACTGAATTATGGCCGAGTTAGATTTAACTCCCATATGGGCTACACTGGAAACGTGCGTGGACTACACTTGAACTCTACTTTGGTGTTCTTTGCGCTACACTTGAACTATCAGGACTACCCTCCGCCACAGTTGAGTGACACCTGGCCTACACTTGAACCCCGCTGGAACTTCCCCTTGAACCCCTGAGCAGACACTTGAACTCTACAATTGAACAAGATCTGACCTATACTTGCATTACATTTGAAATACAAGGACTACACCTGCTACGCACTTGAATTACACCTGGACTTCATCTGAGACGCACCTGAACTATACTTGAACAACACTTCGGCTACGTTTGAACGACATTGGAACTAGACTTGAACTAGATGGGCTACACCTGAACTGCTGCACTTGAAGTGCGCCCGGGCTACAGTTGAAGCGCACTTGCGCACGCAAGCGGGCGACGCTTGAGCGCGTGAGCCAAAACCCAGGGTTGCGCCCGGATTTCCCGTGCTGCGTGCGCGCTCCACGCGCGGGCGCCCGAGGCTGCGACGCTTCCTGCGCCGCCGCGACGCGCGAGCCCCAGCGCTTCGTCGCCGCCCGCAAATAGCGGCTAAGCTGGCAAAGCAACGCAGAACCAATGCGCACCCGAAGTTGCGATCCCGTAGCAAGTAAACGCGCGCGATGCTTGTCATTACTTCGGCAGTCACACGCTCGATTTTCCAGCCGCCCCCCAGACTGCCCTGCAGTTTCTGCAGGGCCAGCCAGTGCGCGCGCGCCCGCGCCCCACGGGCGCTGCGCGCAACGTGCCACTTGCGGGTGCGACCAGAGATGGCAAGCGCCTGATCGCATGCATCACAGGCGCTCTGAGTTGCTTGTGCCATGTGGGGTAGCGGCGATGTCGGCCGTTGGAGATGACCGCTGCGTTGTGCAACGTGGAAGAACCATTCCGTATTATACGAGCATCGGGTGTGTGGTTGCTTCTCTGTGACACAGCCTGTTGTGTGAGGGCGGTTTGTGCAATCCTTCGGTTTGCAGGCTGAAGTGCCGCATCTCCGCGCCTGCCCACCGTGAGGCCGCGCCCGCCGCGCGCGCCTCGAGCCGCGGCAGCGGTCCCGCTCGCGGCGCACCTCTGGGATCGTCTTTCGGGACCGCTCCCTCGTAGCCCTGCTTGCATGCTTGCGCGCGCGCGGTTGGCGGGGGCGGCGCCGTGAAATGGGGAGGGCGGGGAGAGGCGACGTGGGCCGCCCCCCTCGGCACGGGCGTTTCCCAGTTCCCCTGGCTGCCTGCTTGGGGCGGGCGGCCCTCCCCGCGGGGATCGGGCAGAGGGAAAGCACCCAGGCCAACGTGCCCCCGATGCTCGCAGCGTCCTGGAGGGGGTGGGGGGGGGGGCTTGGGATGCTCCTCTCACCCCGAGGTCTCCGCCTCCCTCCTCGGCGCCGCTCTTCTCGCGCGGGGGGGGGGGGCATCGAGCCCTCGGGGGCAGCAGGGGCCCGCGTTTGAAAATCCGGCGGCGCCGCCTGAAAAAGGCATGCCAGCGCCAACGCAATCACACCGTCAACGCGGCGCTATCTGGAACCATCGAGGATGTGACAACACGTAGGTGTACGATCCTCAAATATCTTTCGACGTCCGTTGCAATGTGGGTTCAGGCTTTCGGCCGCTTCAGAAAAAGAAAGCCACCCTGGGGCATCAAACCCTCGGGATTGGTGGGGGCCCGCGCTTGGGCCCCTGGCGCCGCCGCCCGAAAAGGAGTGTCACCGTCACCGCTATTGCACTGCCACCGCGCCGCTATGAGGAACCATTGAGGATATGGTTAGCGCGTCGCGCCGATTGTTTTTTTTCTGGACGGGAAAAAGACACACACAGACACAATGAATCGTCGATTCCCCCCAAAGTACGGGAAACTATGGGAAGTGGGGGGGGGACAATAACCCAGAAAATATGGGAAATATGGGGAATCCTTTTATCTGTGTGTATTTACTAGTGTGTCCCAGGGCCCCCACCGAGGAGGAAGAATGGAAGGAGGAGGAGGAATGGGAGGAGGAGGAGGAGGAGGAGGAGGAGGAGGAGGACGAGGAGGACGAGGACGAGGAGGACGAGGAGGACGAGGAGGACGAGCTGGCCCACCGCGCTTCGGCGCGACGCGCCCGCCACGTCCAAGGTTCCCCGAGCAGCAGCGCCCAGAGGTTTCCCAGCCTCCCGCTTCGCAGAAGGGAGCGTTGCGGTGCCCCCTTGCAGGGCGCAGCGCTCCTCCTCCTCCCTCCCTCTTCCTCCCTCCTCCCTCCTCCCTCCTCCCTCTTCCTCCTCCTCCTCCTCCTCCTCCTCCTCCTCCTCCTCCTCCTTCTCCTCTTTCGCCTTCTCCTCCTCCTCCTCCTCCTCCTTCTCCTCTTTCGCCTTCTCCTCCTCCTCCTCCTCCTCCTCCTCCTCCTCCTCCTCCTCCTCCTCCCATCACCCCACCCTGGGCCCCGTCTCCTTCGCGCCGAGCAAGGACTTGTCGGTGGTGCCCTTCCTGGAGTTCGAGAAGGCGCGTCCGGCGCTGGGCGGCGCCGGAGGCTCCCGCGTGCCTCGAACGCTGCTGCTCCATCCCCCCCCATCCTCGCTGGGGCTGCTTTTTTTTAGAGGAGAGAGAGAGAGAGAGAGAGAGAGAGAGAGAAATGGCGTCGGTTTGAGCGGGCTGCGACTGGGGAGGAGAGGGGAAAGAAGGGAGGGCCCTCCTCATCCCCCCCCCCCCTTCCTCCCCCCCCCCCCGATCCTGTTTTCCTTCGCCGCCCTCCGCCCTCGCCGCCTGCTTCCCTCTGCCCGCCGCCCGCCTCTGCTGCTGCTGCTGCATCCCGAGCCGTCGCTCGACGGCCGCGAGGCCCAGCGAGGGCACCACCAGGCCGAGCACAAGAGCAGCAGGAGGAGCACAAAAACACACACACAGGCACGAGGAATCGCCGACTCCCCCAGGAAGAGATCTAGGGAAAGATGGGCAGAGGGGGGGGGGGACGACGAACGCCCAGAAAAGCATGGGGAACCATGGGGACTCCTGGGCTTTGTGTGTGTGTGTGTTTTTTTTTGTGTGTGTGTGTGTGTGTGTGTGTGTGAGTGTGTGTGTGTGTGTGTCCTACGGCCCCTTCAAACAGCAGAGCAACAGCAGCAGGCAGCGTCCGTCCAGCTCCTGCGCCTCGAGGCGCCGGGCATGCCGCCGGGAGCGCCTCGGCCCGCCGGCCCCCCGAGGCGAGGCGGCGACGGCCAGAGGTCTCCAGCCAGAGGCCGGCCGGCCACCAGCGGGGGGAGCTGTGGTGTCCTTGCCCCCCCCCGGGGGACTCCTCGATTTCGACGCCCCTCTCAGGAGCTCGTCGAGGCGATGGGCTCCCCCACGGGGGGGGCCAGGCGATGGGCTCCCCCACGGGGGGGGCGAGTCAATTTTTTCGAGCTGGGCGTTTTCGCCTTTTTTCGGGCCCCGGGGCCCTCACAGCTCGATCCGGCTCGAAAAAGGACGCAGAAAGATGGGGTCTGGGGCTCTGGGCGCGGACTTTCCCGGTGCTGCCATTGTTTCGCTACGTCGGATCTCAGGGGAGTTGTGGTCCCTTGCCCCCCCCGGGGGGCCCCTCGATTTCGGCGCCCCTCTCGGGAGCTCGTCGAGGCGATGGGCTCCCCCGCGGGGGGGGCAAGGGCCATCAGTTCCCCCAGCTGTGGCTGGTCGGAGAGGCCCCCAGAGAGAGGGCCGAGGACGCCGCCCGCCGCCGTCGCCATCATCTGCGTCGTGGTCGTCCGCCGTCGTCGTCGTCGTCGTCGTCGTCGTCGTCGTCGTCGTCGTCGTCGTCGTCGTCGTCGTGAGCACCATCACCATCACCATCATCATCATCATCATCATCATCATCATCATCATCATCATCATCATCATCATCACCACCACCATCATCATCATCATCATCATCATCATCATCATCATCATCATCATCATCATCATCATCATCATCATCATCCTCATCCTCATCCTCATCATCATCCTCATCCTCATCCGCATCATCATCATCATCAGCAACATCGTCATCATCATCATCATCATCATCATCATCATCATCGTAGTCAGTGTTATCATCATCATCATAATCATCATCACCATAATCGTCATCATCATCATCATCGTCATCATCTGAATCATTAGCATTATCCGTATCATCAGCATCGATCTCATGCTCGTCATGCTCGCCATCACCATCACCACGATCAGCATCATCATCATCATCGTCGTCATCGTCATCATCATCAGTATGATCACCATCATCATCAGTAGCATCGGCATCATCATCATCATCATCATCATCGTAGTCAGTATCATCAGCATCATCAGCATCATCATCATCACCATCATCGTCATCTTCATCTGCATCATTAGCATTCTCAGTATCATCAGCATCGATTTTTATCCTCGTCATGCTCGTCATCACCATCATCACCACGATCCACATCATCATCATCGTCATCATTATCAGGATCATGATAATCATCATCATCAGCAGTATCACCATCATCATAATATCCATCAACATCATCATCATCAGCAACAACAGCATCATCATTGTCATTAGCATTAGCACCGTCATCCTTATACTCATCCAAGCCTCTTCCTCATCATCAACATCATCATCATCACATTCATGATCATCATCACCACCATCATCACCATCGTCATCATCATACCATCATCATCGTCATCATCAGCAGCATCATCAGCACCATCATCAACTTTCTTCGTCACTCGTCGTCGCCCGTCGTCGCCGTCATCATATGCCTGGTCGTCGCTGGTCGTTGTCGGTTGTCGTCGGTCGTCCTCGTTCGTTGTCGTCGGTCAACCGTCGTCGCTTGTCGTCGTTCGTCGTCCGCCGTCCGTCGTCCTCGTCGTCGTCGGTCGTCTTCGTCGTCCTCGTCGTTCGTCGTCCGCCGTCGTCGTCCACCACCGTCCATCGTCGCCGCCTCCCGTTACCCTTCCTCGTCGTCGTCGTTCGTCGTCGGCCGGTCGTCGTCGGTTCTCGTCGTCGTTCGTCGTCGGCCGTCGCCCGTCGCCAGCGGCGGCGGCGGCGAGCCGCCCTCCGCCGCGGCGGCCGCGCCAGGCGAGCCCGCGGCCCCTGCGGCTGGCAGCGCCGACGGCGGCGGGGGCTCGGCGGCTGGCAGCCCGCGGCCCCCGGGCTTCTCGCCGGCGTCGGGCGGGGGCTCCTCGGTGGGCGAGGCCGCGGCCCGCGGCGCTTCTGCTGCCGCTGCAGCTCGCTTCTGCGCGCGAGCCCACCTCCTCCTCGCTCCTCCTCCTCGCTCCTCCTCCTCCTCGCTCGCTCCTCCTCCTCCTCCTCCTCCTCCTCCTCCCCTCCTCCTCCTCCTCCTCCTCCTCCTCCTCCCTCCTCGCTCCTCCTCCTCCTCCTCCTCCTCCTCCTCCTCCTCCTCCTCCTCCTCCTCCTCCTCCTCCTCCTCCTCCTCCTCCTCCTCCTCCTCCTCCTCCTCCTCCTCCTCCTCCTGGGGTGAACGAGGAAGTGGTGCGGAGCCTCCCAGGCGGGGGCCGCCGGTGCTCGGCGTGCCGGGCGGCATGCTGGCAGTCGCCCACGGTGCTGGAGGTTGTCCACCGCGGGGCGGCCGTGGAGCGGCCGTGGGACGCGGCCGCGCCTGCCCGCGGGGGCCCTGCAGCTCGCGCTGGCGGCCCCCTCCCGAGCGCGGCCGGAAGGGCTCGCCTCGGTCGGGTGCTCCTGGGCTCGGCTGGCGGGCGGCCGACCGATGCCACGCCCGCTGCAGGGGCCGACGTGGGGGAGCAGCGCTGTGAGGGGCGAGTGCCGCTCGTGTCGCCCATGCCCGAGGAGGCCCCCGCGGGCCCGCTCGGCGAGGCTGCGGCGCAGCATGTCCGGCAGCAGGCGTCGCGCAGGTGCGCGCGAGCGACGGACGTCTGGCGCTCCACCGCGGCAGCGGCGGTGCAGCGGATCGCGCGGGGGCGGCCAGAGCGGCGCGTGGTGGCCGCTGCGAGGGCAGCCAGCAGCGCCGCGAGCAGCCGCAGCCCCATGCAGCGCACGGGGCCGCCGCCCCCGCCCCAGGAGGGGCCGCGGACAACTGGCAGGAGCGTGCTGGACGTTCCACGGAGCTGGTCGACGATGGCGACGCGGTGGCGGACACGCGCGGAGCGGCGGTGGTCGACGCGGGAGCTGATCGAGACCAACCTGACCGTCTACAACCAGAAGCACAAGGCGAAGGCCTGCAAATACTGCAAGGGCGAGAAGCACGTCCCTCCGGACTCGCGGGCCTGCCGCCCGCCCGGCCCCCGGCACCCGGGGCTGGGCGACAGCGCGCGCGGCGGCCCCTAGGGGAAGGGGACGAAGGTGTGAATAGAACCCGTGTAATACCCTCATATATACTCCTTATCCTCACCTCTCCTGCGCCTGGCCGTTTGGGCTCAGGTATTGGGACAGATCGATCAGACCTTTGATCGTGCAGGAGGGAAAGACATCCATCTATCCCTCCTTCCCTCTACCAACGGATCAGGGGTTCTGTACCCTTGTACTTCAACCCCATGCACAGGTTATCAGCCCTTTAAAGCTCACCTTTCACCGAACCGCACGTTGCGACCTCGCACGCGGTCTCGATGGAGCCCCTGCGGCGCATGCGCCGCAAGGGGTCCATCGGGGCCTCGCGTCCGAGCTCTCCGACGGCACGACGGCTCGGTGACGAGTTGGAGAGCCTTAGTGCGGACTGTGTTGGTGTTCCAGATACCCCCCCCCCCCCAGCTCCGACGGACCCGAGGCGCGGCTAGCTGCTGAGCTTCACCGCAGCGCCGCCCGCGGGGGGACAGGAGAAGGAGTAGGAACAGGAAGGAAGGAGTTTCACACGCCTACCTTCGATCCTCCATCCCCTCCCCCGTCGGGGGCAATCCTAACCGCGTCAGGCGAAAGCCTCGCTGGTCATGACACTCCAGGGCGCTTTCGCGCTAACCGCCGATGGACCTCAGGCGCTGGCACCCCCAGCCCTGCGACCGTCCCCGTGGCGGAGCACGCAGCCACCTTCGAGGAACTCAGTAGACCAGTGGCGGCACAGCCGCAGACGCAGTACCCCAAGGTATCATCGGACGAGACACCACACACACATGGTCCGAGTCGCAGCTCGTCCGCACGCAATCGCCGTGGAGCCCCAGGCCCATGCGGCGAGAGTAGGTCGAGCCCGCGTACTGCCTCTCAGAGGCCATGCACTCCCCGTGACAGGGGACACAGGGAAGCTGACGCTCCCCACCTCTCCATCTCAGACGACCAGCTGGCGGAAAATGTCCGCCGCATGTGAAATAGCTGAGCTCAGAGACCAGGTTGAAACCTTCGTGTCCAGGCAATATTCTGGACTACTGCAGAGCGTTCAGACGAACGCCGCCGATACTGCAGCCATACGCCACGATCTGGACGGCGCCTTAGGGATCATTGATTCCAGGATCGCTGAAGATCGACGCATCATAGGTGAACTGCAGTACCAGGTTGATCGTGAGGTGTCACACTCAGGTGAACGAACGGCGATGGTCGAGAACCTGCGCAACTACCTCGCGCAGATGGAGCAACAGCTTGTGCTCGTACGCGACACAGGCGTTTTAGCAGTCAGGATTTTACATGATGAGATCCACGACCAGCTCCGCAACCGACCAACACCAGCCGAGGCCACCGACCTTGGCGACGTTCAGTCTCAGATCAATGATCTTCGATCTTATCCAGACCACACTACGGTGACGCTTCGCAACGAAGCACACACCAACTCGTCGAACCTGATCGACATGTTGCAGCGTACTGAGAGAGTCATCACTCAAAGGCTTGATGCGACCAACGCTGTCGTGCAGCCACTCGCTAACCGGATCTCTGACATTGAGCAGCGTTTTCCTGGTGTGCAGGACGCCCTGGCAGAGTTGCGTGTCGGACGAGCCCAGACTGGCCAGCTGGATTCTCCTCCCACGGTTTACGATTTCGCCCGCCTCACTGACAGGTTGCAGGAGGTTGAGAAGGCGGCGGACCACACGCAGTTGGAGCTCTCCCAGGTTATTCGTGAAAGAGATACTGAGAAGGTACGTGTAGAAGGTCACCTCGCACGTCTGGAATGCGAGCTGGAGGCACAAAGCGCCCGTCTCCGAGCACGCGAGCAACGACTTGATCGGCATTCACAACGTTCTCGGGATACTGATGAGTATACACGCCAAAAGGTGGCACAAATACACGAAGACATGGCGAACTGGACGAATCAGCTGATCGACCACACCAACGACACCAATCTCCACCTTCGACCTGCAACCGACCTGCACAGGCCGACGGCAGCGTCCGCCGAAGCAACACATGCCTCTGCAGGACAACAACGACGTACGTCACCAGGAGCAGCCTCCGCGGCAGCTTCTTCACAGACACGCCAATTGTCTCCTGTGCGCACAGAACCAACTACTGACGGTGCACCGATACCCTCACAACCATTGTCTGCGGTTTCGGTCCATACTACAACTCGTATCAAGGAGTCAGACACCGTCCGAGTCCCTGTCTTGCCTAAGATCACGCAGCTGCTCGAGTGGCAGCAAACAGTACGGAAGAACTTCGGGGCCGCCTCAGGGCGACCATCCAAAGCGCACGCCTTCCTATGCGTGGCTGAACAGCCCGAATGTACATTCGAGGACTTACAAGACAGTGGAGACTTCGAGAGCATCGATTGCAAACTCGCTACCGCTCTGAGCGACATCTTATCCTCGGACTTGCGCTACCAAATCAGGCTCATCGAAACCAGAAAGCACAAAGCAGGACGCATGCTCAAAGGACGCCAGATTTACTGGCATATCCTACAGTCCTACAAAGTGACAGAGGTTGATGACGACCTGCACGACTTCGAGCGCCTTAAAGAATTGAGGATGAGAGATGACGATTTGCAACGTTTTATTACTGACTGGGACGCTTTACTCTTGGAGTGCCGAGAAGCACCCGATCCAAAGATCTTGGAATCTCTGTTTCGTACACAGATTCGGAGACATGCCTGGATGAAACAAGACATGTACGATTACCAGCGCATGAAGATCAGCGACCCGAATCGTACCTATGATTGGCCCCGACAGCGTGTCCTGGACATACTGGAGCTTAAACAATTGGAGAAGAATCAAAACAAGTTACGGTACGAACATGAGACACGTTCTCAAGTCAACGCGTGCGCTGCCTGGAAGAAAGGCAATTGTCGCAATGGTGAACGGTGCAAGGCTTTGCATACATATTCCAGGGATTGGAAGAACAACAAATCTTCCAGAACATCGACGGCTGGTGGCAACTCCCGCCGCAGCATGTCCACTCCTGCGAATCACAAGAAGCCAGCATCGAAACCATTTTGCTCCGATTTCGCCAAGCGCAACACATGTACCAGAGGCGACAAGTGTAACTTTCCACACGTCGCACAGTGTAAAGATTTCGCACAGAATAAGTGCCCCAGAGGCGATAAATGCAAATATGCTCATCTTACACCTGGTGCGAAGACTCCCGAGCGAAGCCCGAGTCGACCACGGACCTCCAGCCAGGATAGCCGCGGCCGATCACCATCCCGCGGATCAGGAAGCCAACGTTCTTCACAACGCGGGGGGGTCCGCTACGCAAGCGACTCGCGCCATGGACGTGACAACCGACGCCAATACGACCGATCTCGTTCAACATCCAGGAGGTCCCCAGACTCTCGCAGTCAATCGAGAAGTCGATACGACAGATCTTCGAGATCTACCTCCCGAGGGCGGACGCGGTAGTCCACGCGGCCGTGATAGGTCATATGGCAGTGACAAAGGACGTGGCAGACGTTCCCCGGGCCACGGTTCGTCCCGTGGCTCACCCCACGCTAGAGCACGTTCTCCTGCCAACTTTCGACGTTCACGCCGTTCCGACCGCAGTTACGTCATCCGTGACAAGACCCTCATGGCCAACACTAAGGCCACAGCGACATCTACCAAAACACGTCGTCGGATACGCTTCGACATACGTAACGTGGAATACTATTTACATACCGTATCTGGCAGGGCCAGATTGGACAAATGGAAGGAGATGCCGAACGAGGGTGACATCGTCAATGTACCAGACCCGTTACCACAACGATGGTGGGATCAAAATGCGGACGCCCTACGAGAATGTCAAAAAGAGGCACAGCTATGGTACGACGACCTATATGACTAGCGTCACAATAAAGAGCCGGTGGCCACACCAACTGCGATCCGAAAATATGACGACACTGTTAAGCAGTCATCAAAGACAGCCCAGACGAATACAACGACAATGCAAGTCGACCCACCACGCTCGACTGCTGCATTGACACGGTCTTGGTTTCTCGACAGTGGTTCTGCTCATCAGATTCAGGGAAACCATGAACTAACGCAGACCGAATCGGATCGCATATCTATTCGCGAAGAGCATATTCTGGAAACTGCCAATGGTGATCGTACTGTCGACGAGCACTACGACATACGGCTACCCGAGGTCGGCTTACACAGTTCAGCCCTTGCCTTGCCAGATTGTCCATCTTTACTATCAGTTGGGAAATTGATCGAGGTTGATGGTTTTCGGCAGCTTTGGGATCCTGAGCTGGGCTACTTGCTTCAGGATCCGGGGGGCCAATGGTATAACATTCCAGTCAACAATAGAGTTCCAGAATTACGACTCGACGACCTGACACTGATGCCACCACCACGCCTATGCACTTCGTCAGCACCCCGACGTCGTCAGCGCAAGCGTTCATCCGCCCGCTGCAACGACATTTGCTGGTGCTGCAAAACTACAGAGCAGTCAACCACTGCAGAAGAGCTACGGCCCCACATAGGGACCTGCCCCAAGAGACCACATGTCGGAGAGGGAGGAGGAGCACGGACCACCGCGGTCGAAGAACTTCCCGACACAAACACAGACGAGCCTAACGTGGACACACCCACCGACTCGCCTACGTCTCAGACGCAGTGTCCTCCTCTACAATGCGGGGGGGTAGTAGATATAGCTCAAGCAGATAACGACATACCGACAGAGACGCCCGCGCGAATGCATCACGACAATGATCGAGTTCTCCCCAACAGACAGAAGAAACCGATCGACCCGATGCATTACATGACTCACAGCCCAAAACACCTTGACTGTGAGATCTGTTCTCGTACGATGGCGCAGAATGCCCCGTGTAGACGACAGCGCAAACCACACCCACCGGCAGATCCCACCGACGAGGATAACGCCTACGAGGCTTTTGTCCCGAAGAAGTTTGGCGAGGCTTTAACTGCCGACCATATCGTCCTGGCCAAAGACGATGCCGCGGACAAACACGGCGACAAGTATGCACTTGTTGTCCTAGACAGATACACCGGCATCTTCATGGCCTACCCAGCACTACACAAAGACGCAGCTACCACAAAGGCATCCTTTCAACAGTTCATCGCCGCGAACGATGAGGTGCAGCATATCTATACAGACAATTCTGGAAAGCTTCAGAAAGCTCGCCGCCAACTGGGATGGAGACACGACACGAGTACGCCACATCGTGCGCAAACGAATGGATTGATTGAGCGCGTCGTCAAAATTGTCATTCTCGGTACGAGAGCTGTGTTACATATGTCTGGTCTGGGACACGAATGGTGGAAAGAGGCCATGCAAGCCTTTTGCTCTGGACACAATTTTGTGCATGCATCCACGGGCGTGGCTGCCCTCAATGAGGAGCATGCAGATAAGACAGCTCATGAACTACGCTTTGGTGAAAGCTTTCCCGGGCACTGCATGCCATTCGGTGCTCGAATCTTCTGGAAATGCCTCAACCCCGAGATTAACAATGAGACTGCGAAGTTTAAAGAAAATACTCGGGAAGGGTTATTCATGGGTTGCCACTTACATTCTGGTGGGCGATGGTCAGGTGACTATCTTGTTTTGGATACGGCTACATATGCCAAGAATCCTGATGGTGAACTGTGCCACGTGTACAGTATCAAAGACATCATCATCCCTGGTGGCAAGTTCACCTACCCAGTGAAAGAAGGTACTCTGCGACATTATAACCCTGAGGCACACGACGAGGTCAAGGCATCCACTTCTCGCCCCTTGGGTGATAAGCCAATGCCCGATCCTCCACTTTCCTACCCTACGGAATGGGATGACCCATCTATGCTGACAACGGAGGACAACGCCGCTGATATCCAAACATCGGCTTCTGGAGTTGCTGCACCAGCGCCGGAGCCCGACTACTGGGAACAGCGCGGATATTGCGTCATCAGACATATTCGTACCCCACGCAAGAAACTGTTCATCCCGACGGACGACGTCATGAACATACCTGTACCTGTTGATCAACTCGATGTGACACGAGATTTCAGGACAACTTTTACTTTTGAAGGAGAAAGTGACTTTCGAGATGTTTGGGATGGTGTTAGCGCCAACGACCACAGGGAGTTAAGCGAGCCGTGGACAGGCACGATTCAATTCTATGAGCTTCCAAAAATGACGCCAGACGGCAAAATGGTGGTTCGCGGACGCGAGACACGTATACAGACGACTACACGTCCTGATCACATTCTTCCCGAGCATTGGACAACACTCTCTCGTGGACAACAAAAGAAGGAAATCGACTACGCCAACGACGTTAAACGGGCTCGTGAGATTCGTGACCGAGCTGCACTAAGAGTGTGGACAAGACAGGACAAACAGGTCAACAATTTCCGTACCACTACATCCGGCGGACCCACATGGAATACTGTGGAACGACGGATTACATACGACACTGACAATGGCGCCGTCATCCGTGATGAAAATGTCAAAGGCGTGACAAACAAAGGAATACTGTATGCCAAATTACCTGGTGGGCCACGTGACATTACTACGGTACTGTACTACCGCCAATCACCACAACAGCACGATGGAGAAGAACGCGCTTTGGTACTTGTGGATGGTGAAGGAACCGACTTTGGGACCATGAACCCCCTCATACGCCAGTTCACCCAGTCGGTAGCAATACCAACTATGCCACGTGAGACCACCTACATACTGGCACACAGGGATAAAATACCTGATCCCTCATGGTCACGCCCGGCACTAGTTACCAGAAGCCTGAGTAAGACAGAAGTTGCCGCAGAACCACGTGCACAAGAAGCCCTACGAAAAGAATACGAGAGATTGGAAAAGAAACAAACGTGGATGTTGGAGACTGTTGCAGAAAAGCTGATATTGAGTCACAAGCTATCCGCACTGGGACGGAAGTTCATTTCTTCAATATCTTAGAGCTATCTTCAGTCAAACACGAGGAACTTCCACCTGATCTACGTAAATTCAAAGGCAGAGTGGTGGTTCAGGGCAATGCAGGCAAAGATGAAACTGGCTTGGCCGCAATATTCGCCGACGCCGCTTCCAGTGCTTCACATATTGAGGCTTCCAAACTTTGCGATGCTACTGCATTATTGCCACAATATGCGGGAGAACAAAGTGATGCACCTGGAGCCTACACACAGGCATTATTATACGGCGACGGACGAATCGATCCAGTTGATACCTGGATTACCATCCCTGAGTGGCGACAACCGACATCCTGGTCAAAATGCAAAAATCCAGTGTGCCGATTGCGATTGGCTCTATACGGACACCCTCTCGCAGGTGTCTTTTGGGAACGAAAATGCCGTACGTGCTTAGAAAGCGTTGGTTTCGAGCTTATTTCAGGATGGGAATGTGTATGGAGACACAACAAACTGGGACTGATACTTTCAGTATATGTGGATGACTTTAAATTAGCCGGCCCAGCTCACAATCTACAGACTGGCTGGGATTATATTCGCAAAAGCGGTATTGACTTGGATCCACCTACTCCATACTCACAATTTTTTGGTTGTTGACAACAGGCATATGAGGTACCGCAGACTATCTTCGACAAAAGAATGTCTACCATACGCCCTATGTTGCCCGTGCACAATGAGAAAGATTACAATGCGGCCAAACAAGTTCGTGGAATTCGACATCATATGCTTGGTTTTATTGATCAGTGCATTGAGCGATACCTGGAATGCGCCTCCAAGCGCGTCCAGGGACCAGGGTCGCGTCGGAATCGATCCGACTCGCCGAGGACTTCGCGATCCAAATCGCCTGCATCCTCCAGGTCGGTCGCCAGACCTACTAGTGTGCTCAATGCACGGCCACGATCATCCAGCCCAGCAAAATCGGTCGACACGACATCTACCACGACAGATCCCATACCCGTCACATACGATGACCTACCTGACGCCGAAACTCCTGGCATCGAGGACACCTCCTTCACGGATTCCGACTATTCCGACGAGGGCGTCCTTGGCCAGGACGCGGCGAGTGTACCAATGAAGATCCTATACTTGGCACGTTGTTGTCGTTTCGATCTTTTACATCCAGTATGTATGATGGCCAGAGAAATTACAAAATGGAATACTACGTGTGATAAACGTCTACATCGGTTGATATGCTATATCAAAACGACGCGCACACATTGTGTGCACGGATGGATAGGTGATTCGTCAGACAAGTTATCCATCATGCTCTTCACTGACGCCTCGTTCGCCGATTGCATTACATCATCCAAATCCACTACCGGCGTTTTCGCCGCGCTTGTTGGACCCAATACGTTCTTTCCAGTCAACGCTGTATGTAAGAAACAAACGGTTGTGTCACATTCATCGACTGAATCCGAGATCGTTGCCCTTGACTCAGCACTGCGACTGGAAGGATTACCACTGCTCTCACTCTGGGAAGCCGTGGTGGGAATTGCCAAAACATGCAAAGAGAAGAATGCATGCCTGAGCTGCCATCGACACGCCGACCCGGCAATGTGTTCGACGTTGGCAGCCAAAAAGAAGCGTAAGCCATCGCCTCGCAAGGCACCCCCTACACGGGGATCTTCTCTCAGCCGTAGGCAACTACCGCTAAATACGGAATTGCACACGCCTCCAAAGAGACGTACAATATCCCATGAGGGTACAGTATTGCACGTGGATCCAGAACCGGCTCAAGAGATTAGTTCTCCCAAAGTGCGACTTATCGCCCTCGAGGATAACCAGGCCGTGATCAAAATTGTCCAAAAAGGACGTACACCAGCACTTCGTCATCTTCATCGTACTCATCGTATCAACCTGGATTGGATATGCGAGACGTGCCAACTCGAACATATCGAGCTCAAATACGTAGGTACAAAGGAGCAGGTCGCAGATATGATGACCAAACATTTCGAGACGAAGAAAGCAGACCTTTGGAAGGATCTCTTGGAACACTCGCTCATCTTTCCCGCTACCCCGATACAGTGTCCTCCAAAGAAACCCTGGAAACCATTGCGAGGGCCTCGAAGGCCCGATGGTTTACCTCATGTTGCGGAACCTCCAAAACTGGATGGATGCCCTGAAGTATGCAAAATATGACTTACAGAAAAAGAAAGATGGGGCGAAGTAGGATCAGAATGTGGATTTCGGTGCGTGGGACAAGCCAATCACGAGGGAATATGCGCATGCATGTACCACATTGGCGTACCGGCCGCAGCTATTGCGTCGCGCACACCTCGTTCACGCGCACGTTCCCCGCACGGTAGACATCCCCGCCATCCTTCCTCGCCTCCACAAGATGCAGAGAGATTTAGAACATTACTTATACGTTCATGCCGCAGCAATTTTACGACTCGAGCTACAAAGCTCACAGGCCTTCTGTTCGCCACGTGCGAGGCGAAAATAAGCGAGATCGGTTCTAATCCCGGTACCCCCATCCACAAGATGGATCAGGCACAGCCGCTCAACCTCATCGGCTGGCCCATCGGCTACGACACGGAGTACGACTCGAACGCCAAGGATGACGACCGCGTGGGCTTCACGTACCACGCTCAAACTGGCCGTCCTCGTGATCCTGATGATGGTTACATATACATACATCAACGGCGTGCTGATCGCAGTGGAGAGTTTGATCTCCGCGTACCCGACGAATCCACTATTCGAGAAATTACCCGCTCTGCGTCCGCCGACGCCAAGAGTTGGATCAATGACACGAATGGATCTGTCGGCGGCGACGCCAACTATGACTACAGCACGTTTACTGCTACACCGTGGCTGTCATTCATGCGGGCTATGTGTATGCTTTCCAGTCTCTTCAATCGTAATCCGTCTGTACGAGAAAGTGTTCGTGGTTTACATGATCATTTGAACGCGGTGATCCCAGGAACGCACCGCAAGTGCCCACCAGAGAACTTTACGACGATGATATTGAAAACGGAGTGGATGATGATTCACAACGATTGGTCCAAGATTGGCAGTGCAGTACTGGGACAATATGCCGAGGACAGCGTTCAGGATACACAAATATACTATTCAAATGGTCTTTGTGCACCATCCGATGTATACAGCAATGGATTGATAATTCCATGCGATGCTCCTAAACTTGATCGTACAACGGCTAAGTTACCTACACGCCCACCTGGCGTAGCCAGGACATCAGATACATCTGGACACATCGGCCACATTGTTGAGGATAAGTTGGTCACCAACATGAGAGCATTTTCCGACCTTAACCAAACAAGCAAATTTCGCCGCAAGTTCACCACATGGTTGACGGCGCGCGGAGGCTTTGGAGGTATCGGATCACACCCCAAGACGGTGGCAACACCATCCGATCATCCAGAAGGCTGGGTGGCAATATCAGAGCATGACGGGGATATGACAAGTACCTATCGTTGGCAACCGTACAACGAGGGCAACGACTTCTTTGGCGAAGCCGCTGACCAGATCGACCCTGGTCTTACCCCTGGCCCTGATGTTGACCCACTCGAGCTGGACCAAGCAAAGTACAGCGCTTTCTGTGGTGGTCGTTTGGTTTCTACTCTTCTTTCAGATAATGGGTGGTGTTCCCTCGTACAAGAAGACTTGGGACTACTCTTGCATCATGCATTTGGTCCATCAGGGCACGCATGCAAATGGACCAACTTATACACCGACTCAACGTGGATTATGCAGGCCAAGAAAGGGGCCAAGAGCGCAAAACACAAGAAGTACCCAACTTACGGCATCGACGAGCTCAACACTGCACATAAGCGAGAAGATCTCGCCAAGGCATCAAACGTTGCTCTCGTACCGCTGTTTATGCCGTGCCTCAACCGCGCGGAATACATGGGCGGCGCTACTCTCGAGCATTTGTCGACCATGATCCGCGACGACATCATGATGTGGGCATTCTCCTTTGGCAATTATAAAGAATGGTTCAGACAGAACGACACGCCGATCGGCCAAGATTGCGTTCGATTGCCAGAGGCTGGTGGAGACACCCGCTATGGTATGGGGGAGCTGCGTAACCAGCGTTTCGAAACACAGGAAACCCGTACCACAGCTATTCTCAACAACCAATGTGAGTGCACTCTCGAGCAGCGCAACATGATCAAGATGATCCGCGAAGCCAGAGGCCTCATGTTACACGGCGACAATGCCTCCATCAAAAAGTGGCGCGAGTTAAACGAGACTATCTGGAGCTACTGGGCCAATGATTTTCCAGCATATGTGAAACAAAGACATTATTGCAGGGGCCTCAATGCCATGGTGGTATGGAGCGCGAATGACATCGCATGCGCCAACCACGGACAGAACACCGTGGACATGCGTCGACATCAAATCCGTGCACCTACTGACGTATACGAGCTCCAGGAAATGGAATGTGAGGGTGGCGTCCCGACGCTCATGCCAGTACACGTGCACGTGGACGTATCACGTTTTGTCGATGTGATGCAGTACTTCCGCTGTCCCACAATCATGGGGCCTGGCCAAGCAGCACAATGGGGCGCACACCCGAACTTTGATCACCACACGAACGACCTGATCAATATTATGCAAAATCGTGGTATCACTGTTCTTCCAGCAGATCACTGGGTTGAAGCGTACGATAGGATTACCCCGCAGGCTTGGCACGCAAAACAGAACAACCATAACATGGCGATGTTTACAACACAGTTCTGCGACGCAGTATGCTATCGTAACTTCTGCGCTTTGATTCAGTCACTGCCCTCTCAACCATATCCATTCAGGGCGCCATTACTGATTCCTGTCACGGATGAGCAGGCCTACACACAGGCCAAAGAGATCATGGCTGCTCTCGACTTCAGAGAAAGATGACAAACGAATGGAAAAGAGATCTCAGCCTCACGACGCTGATGACACAGACGGCAAGCGAAATGGCTCGTTGTGCGTGGATGGCACCATGTGCCGATGGTACGTTGCCGGCATCACTGCCTGCTGACGCAGGCGACACAACGGAACCTATTCCTGGAATGCCGAAACGGACACCAGCACCTGATCCTAGCGAGCCAGACAAAGCTATCCCTGAAAATGAACCATGGGGTGTAGCATACGACGACTTATTCCAGTACCTCATGCTGTTGATCAACGGCTACCCTGGGGCGTGGGCATCCTGGCATTCAGTCGAGAAACAAGAGCTCCTCCACCCCAAGATCATTAAAACGGTTGAAGATGCACATGCAGTTACTTGGGTTGTGTTCGAGCAGCTTTTACAACAGATTACTGACTCGGATGGAGATGATAACGCGACCAAATCACGACTCACTGCGGAAAACAACAGGTTGACTTCTCACTGCATCGGCCCTGCTGCCGAGAACGAGCGGACCATCATAGCATGCGAAACATTCTTCAGGCAGAATGCACTAGATCGCGTGGCATTGGGATATGATCCTGATGTTCCGACGTCCGTGCGGCGTGCGGCGGCTGATACAGAACAGCCAGCCCCACCAGGCCCATTGCCTGAACCACTGCAACCTGGACCGCAATTGTTAGACGTGCCACAGTCATCGACTCCTGGACCAACAGCAGACCAGCAGCCAGCATATCAGCTCCCAAAGGCTGAGGCGGTACCGATCCCTGACGACGGCACTGACCTAGAGGCCATGGAGCTGGAGGCAACTCCTGCCGAAGAGGAATCTTCTCCACACGAGGTGAATTTATTATCATGGCAGGACAGCTGCGAGCGTTCCATGCATGAGGACATCAGCCAGGCCGGGATGTTCGATAACGCATGCACTATTCGAGAGTGGAAGCTGCAAGCGGGCATCAAGGACGACCATCCATACGTATGTCCACTACTGCGGGGTACATCCGCGATCAATGGATTCGCCTGCCTGGAAAACAATGACTGGTACGAGCAACTGTTACACGATGATTGTGATTGCTCACGCGCCTGACATTGCACAGTCTGGTTGCTTTCCAGAATGGAAGTGGATATCGTTACCAAATTACGACGACGTACGTTATGGTCCCGAGTTACTTGATGATGAATGGCTGGGAGCAGCCAAATACATGAGCAAAGACATCACGACCATGTTACGCCACGAGATTCACTACAAAAAGTTCTATATCAATCAATTTCACGATAGACGTATCAACATTTGGACGAAAACAACATATCGTGAATGGACTATTCCAAGCAATTGGAAATCCTTTCAGGAAATGGTTCAATGGAAATTCAAAGATCGCAATGACCACAACGGGCCGTCCATGGACGCGGCCGTGTCACACTTCAAGAAAGATGGTGAAAATGATGGATATGCCGATTCGAACGATTATTACCCGATCTTCATCATTCGTGCGTTCCAGAAACATATTGATCCGCAGAAAAATAGAATTGAGATATACGCCAAACCAATCCCCGAGGGAGGTGACCCCAGCTGTTTCGATTGGAACAGCGTCATTGCCATTCGATGTGTAGGGGGTCACAGTTGCGTTAATCCACTTCCAAACCATGGAATATGGGCTGGGAGAGCCTACAATGGACAGACGTGAAATACCTCCACCACGGCACAGCAGCCCGTGCTTGGCGCAACATCTTGAAGACAGGGATCATTCCAGGCTGCGTTGATCCATCTTCTCAGAGCGACAAGCATCATAAACCATCACAGCGAACGGAGGCATTCTTCAGTTCCAGCACATATTTAGACAATGCCCAGAAGAATCCCCACACCTCAGTAGAGTCATATGAGTTCTATCACTACAAGAACGAGGTCGAGCTAGTGATCAATATGGAGATCGCCACAAAAGCAGGTTGCAGATTTTGGCTGGGCGCTCAAGGCGCTATCATGACAGAGGACGTGGTTCCAGCTGCGGCAGTTATTGCCATTCGCCGCCTCAAACCACATCACATGCACGGCCAGCAGATATGGCCAGACGGCGCCACATGGGAGTACCCGCCATTGGCCGCGAGACCGCCATTGAGCAAATACGAGATTTGCGCCTATCTTCCTGGAGAGTTCATCGAAGACCCCCCTGGGATTGCACCTGCTGGCACGGATCAGAACATGGAGCAGCCAAGGACAACGTCAGCATCCGCACCTTCGGCTCAGCTGGGGGCAACCCCTGCTAGCCGTATATATGGAGCCGATGCCTTGGATGAGCAAATGGTCCGTGCTATGATTGCGGGCACCAAGCACAAAGCAGATGATAAAGAATGGTTAATTGCCCTGTCATATTGCCGAGAGGCTCTGCGACCTATTACATCAAAGATTACACAAAAAGATTGGGATCGTCGGCCTGCAATTAATGATGTTCGCATGGGGGACTTCATTATCATTAAGAATTGGGGATCTATCAAATGTTATCATTATGACAACCACTACCCCAAAGGCAATCACAATACCAAGGTCCCCATGGATAAGGGCCACATATATATGTCCCAATCATTCATTTCGGAGTCTTTGACAAGTTCTTCGCGGTACAGATACCTATTCTCAACTACGGTTTACGAGGGGTGAACATATGGTACAATGACAAAAGCATGCCTCTCAAGGGCGTTGTCGTTGCATTACCAATTCGTATCGACGAACATGCCATTGACCCGGCATAAAAGAATACTGTCCTGGAGGGACCATCCTCATGCCGTGACAAAATATTTCAGCACAAAACTGATGGCAGTCTGCCATATCTTGGTATGCCGAGCATTTATAGGCCACGCATTCCACGTACACCGACCAGACAGCCCGCCCCTCGGACACCCGATCCCGAAGAGCTGGTGGCCACACCTGCTGAAGATACCGCTCCTACGGACGATGGACCTCAACAAACTGCAGGCTCATCTGATGAACCTTTGGTTGCCGTTATCGTGAATATATCAAACATATCGCTCACCGCTGAAGAAAAAGCAGCAAATGACAATATGAGAGCAGATCTATCAGCAGAGATCCAAGCAGACGAGCACGTTGATGCGAGCATACTCGACAACGTTATTGACCCGCCAGAAGATTTCCTCAACCACCCAGACTACGACCCAGAGGAGGATTCAAGGTGGAAAAAACAGTCATACGACCGCCGTATACACCGCTGGACGTCGGAGTTGTTGGTGGATTCACCTATGATAAAGATGAAACAAATCATTGAGGTACACACTGGCGCGGACAGAATTGTGGTTGACAAAACACAATCGCACTTACGATTTGAGATTCAATTTGGATCCAAAGCATGGAATGCAGAGAAATACTATTTGAATTATGATCACACCCACACATGGGCACGCGACTTGCCAATTTGCAGTGCAGACCGCTTTTTCAAAAAGTTGGTGCACTACCTGGACCCAGAGAACATCGAGGAGTCGACGACAGGCGTCTTTCAATGGATCTCCAAAGTATATCAAAACATATTGATGGACAGTATTGCGGAGCTCCGTGGCTTCACAAAAGATGCCATCCATCAGAAACATCCTGCACTCCAAACGTTGCGTGATCTATTGAAACATTGCATCGACACATTCGGTAATCCAGACTTCCCCTTATGGAAGGAACTGGTGGAAACACCTGCCGCGCCACGTGGCCCAGGCGCGGAGCAGGATATTCCCCAGGACCCAGGCAGCGTTGCATCCGCAGCTCCTGATCAAGAAACCATGGTACGGATCATAGCCGAGCAGACGGGAGTCAACCGCGAGGAGGGCGACAACGGGTCCGCGTTGCAAGAGAAGGCTCGCCGTCTCCGTACTGAAAACGCATGCCATGGTGATGCCGATGATGCGGACAACGACACAACAGAGCACATAGGACTGCCAGGGGAAAGATTGTCTAGGATCGAGATCGAGGGATTGAGTAGATCAATCGCTTCCCGACCGAATGCCGAGATCAACCGCGAAGCCATGGACCAGATCGGCCGTAGTCTTGCTCGTGGTCAGGATACTCGCTGGGGATCCCGTGAGCACCTCACGACGGAGGGAGCCCCAGAAACGATCCTGCATGATATCGCGCGATGTCGGAATTGCGGTCGAGACTTACCCCTTGGGATCGTCACAGGTGATGGTGCCCTTTGTGACATCTGTTGGCAGTACACCGTGGCCGTAGGTGCTACGGGTAAAAGTACCGCCGCCCAGAGCGACCTAGCATACCTCCACAAGCTGACCAACTGGATCAAGATGACGCCCTCCCAGGATGACATCACGAGGTACATGAGAGACGGAGCGCAAGTCATTATGACGGGCGCGCGCTCATTCCCAGGTAATGAGAAAGATTCGCTGAGGAGAATGGCTAATGTGTCTAGAAAGAGGTATCAGAAGTGGGTCGACTCTGGTCGCCCTCCTGCACACGAGTGCAGACTGATGGGCGAGGCTGGTGACGACAGACCTCTGTACTACCCATATGCCAATCTCGCTCAGCGCTTTCTCAACGATTTGAAGTTCCACCACCAAATGACAGGCGCTCGCGTGAACGTGGGCAAGAAGGCCTGGAACGTGGACGACATGCGTGATGCATGCACGATCCTCGATACCAGCATCAGGACAGGACAAACTGGTCGGAAGAAAGGGTGGCTGAACGAGGGCAGACTCGACAGGCAAACGCGGCAGGCTCGCGGACTTGTCACGATTGCCCCCCCTAGAAGGGATGGCACCCGTGAGAAAGTCACGCAGCGCAAGCTTGCTGCGATTGCTAGCGAGTTGTTGGGCTCCCTCGATCCGTCACATACCGACCAGAGGGGGGTTGATTCAGGGATGAGAACCGATCCGATCGAACCTGATACACACTCCCATCAGTCTGATGATGCCATGGGCCCGCGCCATCCACCGCCGCCGCCGCGCCCTGCCCCTGGCGATGCTGCACAGCCCAGCGCCTCTGGCGCGGCGGACCACATGCCCGCGGGGCCGCGCGCCAAGAGAGCGCGTACCACGGATTACGCCGCCTACTGGCGCGACGACCTTGAGGACAGTCATTGGGGTCTCAGGTATTGGAGCTACTACATCAACTGTTGGATCTACATCGCGATGAACAACGACGAGTTCGTATACATCCACGACATCCAGTACAACGATTGGTTTCGTCACTGGATCCCGAGGACATATTGGGAGATGTTCACGACGAGCTACGCGACGTACAATGGCCAGAGGATGTGGGACCGCAGGTTCTACAAGAACGGCAACGCGTAGGGAGTCGGCCGCAAGGCTCACCGCTCAAAGGCTTGAACTTCATTATAATTCAAGTTCGCCTTGAGCGGTGGCTATTACATACTTCTAGGCCACTTCGCTATACAACACAAGTGGCCACATATACAAACATCTTTTGCGATAACCGAGGCAACCTCCTACGGAGCAACGCCAACGGGGGTCGCCAAATAGAGTTTATATACATGCAGCTTTCGCGTTTATCAACACGACATTTCGTCTGGCCAGACACTTGCTTTTACATGCAGTTGCGTTCCGTAGCACGATCGCGTTCATCAGCGCGATCTTAGCGTGCATATTCATTACAGTATAACTACATTGCGCTGAGAATAATCTGACAGCTGGTGGCAACACCTGCCTCGCAAAGGCGAGGCAGATTACAAGTTGCTTTATTGTTCAGCTCTTCTTTCTCCGCCCACCCTTGTCTCATTCTTCTCCGCCCTCGAGTGCCGAAGCGTTTTGGGGGGCGCACCGAGGGGGCGCCAAAGTGTGCTTGGCGAAGAAATGGGGACCCAGGGTGTTCCTTCTTACTTTACTTTGCAGCTGAGGCTATACTGACTTTAAGCTCAGCTGCCTGCAGACCTGAGGATTAAGGAGTAAAAGGGTGACGGATTATTTTCCTCTGTTCCCGAGTCCTACCCTCACGGGCGGGATTCGGGACGGGGGGTGTGAATAGAACCCGTGTAATACCTTCATATATACTCCTTATCCTCACCTCTCCTGCGCCTGGCCGTTTGGGCTCAGGTATTGGGACGGATCGATCAGACCTTTGATCGTGCAGGAGGGAAATGCATCCATCTATCCCTCCTTCCCTCTACCGACGGATCAGGGGTTCTGTGCCCTTGTACTTCAACCCCATACACAGAAGGTATCGGCGATTCCAGCCGACGATGCCGACGACAAGTTGCCGGATGAGGACATCCAGGAGGCGCAGGCGGAAGGAGCCGCGCTGGCGGCCGGGCCCGCCCCGACGCCTCGAGGAGCAGGTGCGGCGCAGCTCTGGGCGCCGAGGCCTGGCGACGGGGCTCGCGCCAAGCAGCGGCGGTGGGCCAAGACGCGACGGGAGAGAGAGAGAGAGAGAAAGAGAGAGAGAGAGAGAGAGAGAGAGAGAGAGAGAGAGAGCAAATCGGCCAGCCGCTTCAGGAGATCGATTCTGCGCAGCCGGGGGAGCCGAGGGCGCAGTCCCTCGGTGGCCCAGGATGTCGGAGCCCACGGCCCCCGTCCGACAGGACACCCCCAGCGGGGCGAGGCGGTCGGGTTGCGGCGGGGTCGCCGGGGCCGCTCGGCCGAGAGAACCGCCGCAGCACGGCAAATTGCCGCCGCGGTCGACGAGGAGCTCGAAAGGCTCGGCGCACACCGAGCAGGTGGCCGAGTTGCTGGCCGCTCGGGGGACTTTCGCCGTCGTCGGGGCGGAGCAGCGCGCGGCGGTTGGCTCTCGGGCGCCGCGCGGAGTGGACCCGATGCCACAGCAGGCGCGCAATGGAGACCTGTCTGGGAGCGCCGCCGCCCTGGAGCGGCCGTCGCCGCGGCACACGGGCGAGCGGGGGCGAGAGGCTGGCCGCCTCGCGGCCCTCGCCCGCTGGGCCGCCGAGGGCTCGCGGGCCGCCGAGGCCGCCGACGAGGCGCCCCCGCCGCCGCGCCTGCGGGCGCCCGCGGCTTCCCGACGCGGCTCCTCCGGGAGCTGCGGGAGCGGCCGCCTGCGGGCGCCTGCTGGCTCGGCGGCCCGACGCGCGTGGGGGCGCGCGGCGCGGGGCCGCGCGCGGTCGGGCCGCTTGCGACCCGCGCCGTCCGCCCTCGATCCCTCGATCCCTCCTCCTCCTCCTCCTCCTCCTCCTCCTCCTCCTCCTCCTCTTCCTCCTCCTCCTCCTCCTCTTCTTCTCCTCCCCCTCCTCCTCCTCTTCTTCTCCTCCCCTTCGATCCCTCCTTTTCCTCCTCCTCCTCCTCCTCCTTCTCCTCCTCCTCCTCCTCTTCTTTTCCTCCCCCTCCTGCAGCGAGCCCAAGCTGCAGGCGGAGGAGCGGAGGGAGCCAGGCGCAGAGTCGTGGGAGACACTGGAAGGAGGGGGAGGAGGGAGACGGAGCCGGGGAAAAGAGGAGGAGCGGGAGGAGGGGGAGGAAAGAGGAGGAGGAAGAGGAGGGGGGGAGGGGGAGCAAGCAGAGGAGGGAGCTGGGACTCGGACCGGGGATGCCTTCCAGCCAGAACAGAACCCCCAACTGCCCTGCCCGCACCCGTGGCTCGTATTGTTATCCAACGCACAGCCCGCGGGGTTACAACGGCCAGTTCTTCTACTGTAGCACCGGTGCGCGAACATCTGTATGTCAAGAGCCCAGCCACTATGTCCTGCCCCAGGGCTGGAAGCGGTCCATCCCAGCAACCAACGACAAGTTCTACTAGCACGACGAGCGGAACAATATCATCCGCAACGGCCCACTCGCACCACGATGTGCAGGGCAACCACCAGCATCGCCCAAACCAGGAACACCATCGCCACCAGCGCGATCACCTTACGTCGTCACATCAGCCCTGGACACCACATTGCCAGCTACAGCCAGGACGACATCGACAAGAGACAACTCGACAATCTCATTGACAACAACAAGGACATGACCATCGACCATCTCTGCGATTATGTCGAAGCCAACAAGGTGAGCGCCAGCCTCAACAACAACATCATGATGAGACTCAGTCCGATAATTCAAGTAGCTACGAGGGCATCACACGGGTCATCAACGAGATACAGACGGCAGCAGCACTGCCAGCGATCAGAATGCAGAACTACGACGACGACGACCACATTAAGCACCGCGTCACCATTAACCCAGACGTCTGCCAGTCAAACGTGGCACAGGGGGCCCCCGAGCCCACAGGGCACGCTGACGACATGAATCAGGACAATGGTAACTTGATCGGCCCCGTGACAGGCGACTCTTTCCAAGCGACCGCTGCAACCATGACGCCCGCCCCCCACCCCCGTCCCACAACGGTGACGGACCCCAGCCCTCAGGCAGCACCCGCGTCTAGAACCGACCGCTGGAAGGCACCGCCCACCGACGGCCAATTATCCCAAGCCGTCGCATGCAGTGTTCTTCCGCCGCGGCGCGAGAGGACGGCATCAGTTGACGCGGGAGACCTGTCGTTGCAGCCCGACGTCCAGCGCCAACTGACTGACGACAGGCGACTGGGCCCAAGGGCCAACTACGGCAGCAGCGCCACACGCAAGTCCCAAGCGGTGCCCGCCAAACCGCCTCCGAAGCCGACGCCGCCCCTCCGCGACGGCCGACCGCCTCGCAGGACGGTAAGGCCCCGCCTCCCGACAGCGCAGCGAAGCAGGCCGCCACAGGTAGCATGACCACAGTACGCGAAGGAGCTGAGACGCCAGTCGAGGAGCCACAAATTGGAATTCGCACAGGAGCGATGACAGCGGACATCCGGCGCGACGCGGCCAACCGACTGGTCGACACCATAAGCACCATCTACCACGACAAGAACGCAAAGTTTGTTAGGATGCGCAGGCGCAAGATCATCAAGGACAGTCTGACCAACGCCATCAACCCACGCGCCATGCATGACCAAGCTCATGACCCACATCTGCGAGATCGACACGAGCGCGATCAGATCATGAACAACCTCGCCGGCGCGCTGCCGAACAACCAGGGAAACCAGATTCGCCCACCACTCGCCCCATGCATCACGACGGCGAACCAGAGGGTGCTGACGCAGTGCGTTATGCACCCTCCGCGCAGCATAATGGCACACCCAACCACAGGCGACGCCCAAGATGCGACCTTTCCATGCCACTACAATCCATCGCCGTTGCGATAAGATCGCCAGCTGCATCAGAGTTGGCTTGCGGGACGACCCGAACGGGGAATGGGCGCCATTCGCAACGACGGCATTCCAGAGAGGCATCGCACGGGGCGCGACCCGCCACGCGACCAACTTGCCGCGTTCCCAGGAGCAGGAACAAGCGACCAAGACTACCCTGAAGTCGGGCTTGTCTTTCTACAGGGGGACGAGTCAAAAATAATCCAACTGTAATTCGGGGGCGATTTTTAAATGTTTCATAACCATTTGGCGCTATGTTCTTGTATTTTCCCATTTTTTGTCAAATCCCCCTGCGCGGGGGACATGCCCGAAGTAAAACTACCCAGACGTTCCGCGGAGACCCGGGACACGACCCCTCCGACTCACCCCCAGACCTCGCGACGATCCCCAGACGCACCGCGCCCGAGCAGGGGCCACCGGGCGCCCACAATGACCGCCCAACGGGGTCTCAATAGGACCATTCCACGCAAGACTGGGCACCGCAATCTTCGCCCGATGATCTGAGCTTGCGATGGGCAACGGGGAGAGGAGCCATCGCTTACGGCGATTAGTCGTCGAACAGGAACACTGCCTCACATTGCTACTGGAAGAACTGCCTCGCCCACGGCCGCGCAGGACTCCGATCGTGATCACAAACAAACGTGTGCCAGCGGGCAACGGGGCCTACTTCTTTGACTCGACATGCCGAGTACCGTGCTCCGACGCGTCCACCAACGACGACAATGAGGAGGAGGGCCCCCGCGGCCGCGACCGCGGGCGACGCGGGCTTCGAGACGGAAGCAGATGCCCGCGCCAGACAAGCGCGCGACCGCCACCGACTTGACCAGCTAGGAACCGCGCGCGGCGCGCGCAAACCCGCGCCGACCCCGCCGACATCATGATCGATTGCAACGCGACGCCCGGCCCAGCGCCGCGGCCCGCGGCGCGGACCTCCCACCTTGAGACGAACGCGCGCCACCGCCCCATTCTCTCCACAACTCCCACCCTCGCGCCGTGGCGGGGCCTGCCTCGCGGCGGCCCGCCAGTGCGCCGCTCGCCCTGCGCCGATGTCGCCCCCGGCGACCGACAGCTCCAGTTGCGCAATGTTGCCCCTGGCTGCGCGGGGCTCCGCCGGCTGCCCCTTGCCCCGCGCCTGACCTCGGCGCTATCCTTCTACCGACGAGCCGCGCTCGCTGTTGCGCTGGCGTCCGCGGCGCGCAACGGAACTCCCGCCTCGTCTCGGAGCGACAGCAGCACTGCATTCCTGCGCGCGGCTACGGCAGCGCGAGGATCGAGGGTCCACGGCAGCGCAGGGCTCAAAAACCGCCGCGGCTTTCTCACCTGCACAAGATCACCCGACGTTTCGAATCACGACGACGGCGGCTCCACCCTCAACAGCTACGGTATGCAGTGGGTCCACGGTCGCACAGGGCCCCCAAACCCACCACGGCATTCCGACCCGCAGGCCAATGCTACGCTCGTGGGCCCACGGTGAGACAGGGGTCACAATCCGCCGCGGCTTTCGCACCCACTGAGGGACAGTTGGCGTTTCATAGCACCACGCGGTGCCTACGTCGACAGAGATGCTACGCAGTGGGTCCGTGGTCTTGCAGGGCTCCATGGCCCGCCGTGACTTTCTCACCCGCGCGCCGCCGCCGCGCGAGTGTGTCCATGGTCGCGCAGGGCATCGAAACCCGCCGTGGCTGTCTCACCTTCAGGCCATCGCTAACTATGCTGGTGGGTCCACGGCGAGACGGGGCCCCGAAACCCGGCGTGGTTTTCTCGCGCGTTGCGGAGAAGATGGCGTTTCGTAACGCCACGCGGCGCCGACGCCGACTGATATGCTCATATGCCACGCAGTGGGTCCGCGGTCGCGCAGGGCTCCGCGGCCCGCCGCGGCCCCTCGTGGCTGTCTCACCTGCATGCCATCGCTATGCTGGTGGGTCCACGGCGAGACGGGGCTCCGAAACCCGCCGTGGCTTTCTCGCGCACTGCGGAGAAGTTGGCGCTTCGTAGCGCCACGCGTCGCCGACGCCGACTGATATGCTCATATGCCACGCAGTGGGTCCGCGGTCGCGCAGGGCGCCGCCGCTGTGCGAGTGGGTCCGCAGCGCCACGGGGCCCCAGAACCCGCCGCGGCTCTCCTCGCCCACGGATGCCACCGTTCTCGGATCAGTTTTGGTGGGGCCGCTGTATTCACAGACCAGCGGGTAGAGCTCTCTCGTGCGCCTTCTTCCTCTTGGCGGCGGCCCCGATCGCTGGCGCCGCCGGGGCCTCGGAGGCGACGGCGCGCGGAGCTTGCTTCCAGCCGGTCCTGAGAGGGCCCCCCGCTCAACTCCGACCGGCCCTTTGCTCTTGGCCCCGCCTGCCTGTGACCTGCTTCCCCCGCCGCCCGCCCCGCTAACCTTCCCCCCCCATTCTCGCGGCGGCGGGGTTGGGCGGGGTCAGTGGGGGGGGGGGTGCTCGGCTAGCCGACGGCCGCCCTGGCAAGGGCCGGGGCAGCCGCGGCGCGCGGGCAGCGGGGCGCCCCCGGGCTGCAGCAACAGCCGCAAGCTGCAACGGCGACCAGCTTCGAAACTCCAGCCCTAACCTCCCCCACCGCCGGGAGCCCTGGCACGCCGCATTCGCTCTTGCCCAGCCAGCTTCTCGGCCATCGCCAACCGTTGCGAGTCAGCAGTGTGATGCCCGTCGCTCCACCCTTGTCAAGGGCGTCATTTTTTGGCTCGCTTCCGCATGGCCCTTCCTCTTTCAGCATCGGTGCGCCGGCGCGCTTGCTGCGCCCGCGCCGCCAACCTTCGCACGGCCAGCTCCCGCGCAGCAGTTCGACGGTGGTGGGTTTATTGGGTGGGCGGGATGCGGAACCTGCCGTCGGCCGCCCTGGCGTTGGCCGGAGCTGCCGAGGCCGCGGCCGCGGCCGGGACGGCTGCTGTCTCCCACAGCCCATTTGTCCTTCAGCATGCGTTGCTGTTCCAACCTCCGCGTCAATGACCTCGTCCAGCGCCGTGCCACATGGCCCCGCCAACCCGCCAACACCGCCGGCCTCCCTGGCGTTGGCCTGGGCGGCCGCGGGGATCGATGTGTGAGCCCTCGTCCAGAGAGGGGAGGAGGAGAATGAGGAGGAGGAGGAGGAGGAGGAGGAGGAGGAGGAGGAGGAGGAGGAGGAGGAGGAGGAGGAGGAGGAGGAGGAGGAGGAGGAGGAGGAGGAGGAGCAGCAGCAGCAGCAGCAGCAGCAGCAGCAGCAACAGGAGGAGGAGGAGGAGGAGGAGGGAAGGAGGAGGGAGGAGGAGGAGGAGGAGGAGGAGGGCAAGCACAGAAAGGATCAGGAGGAGGAGGAGGAGGGGACGGAGGAGGAGGAGGAGGAGGAACGCTGCCAGTCGTGCTCCGGTGCCCCTTGCCCCTTGCCTGCGCCGTGCGCTCTTTCCGCGCGCTCGCCTTCGGGCCACCCGCGGCCCGTCTCGCCGTCTCATCATGCCGGCAGCGCCCCGCAGCCTTGTTGCCTGTCATGGCGGTTTGAGGGGAGGGAGGAGGGAGGGATATGTGGATATGAGGAGGGAAGGGAGGGTAAGGGAGGGTGGGGAGGGGACTGGGGAAGGGAAACGCTGGGGGGGAGGGGTCGGGGGAGTGGAGGGGTTTTGTTGGGGTTGGGGAGCGGAGGTGAAGGGGTGGGGATCGGGGGAGCTGAGGGTCGGGAAGGTGGTGGTACGGGGAGGGTGGGGGTGGGTGGGAGGGGGTGGGTGGGTCGGGGTGGGAGGGGGTTGGGAGGGAGGGGGGAGGAGGGATGTTGGGAGGGGAGCGAAGCTCACCAGAAGAAGATGGGAAGGGAAGGAGACCCAAAAGCAACCGAAAGCAGAAGAAAGAAAGAAGAAGCGCCGCATAGCGAAGACGAGCGAAGAAGACGTCACGAAGACACCAGAAGCGAAGAATCCTGGGAAGCGCGAGACACGTAAGAACGACCGACACGCGAATAACAAGAAGAAGACGCGGAAGCGAAGCAGATCTCCTCCCTACTCCCCTCACCCCTTCATCCTCCTCTCCTACCTCCTCTCCTTCCTCCTGACCTCCTCCTCCTCTCCTTTCATCCCCTCCCCCCTCCTCCCCTCCTCTCCTCATCCTCCTCCTCCCTCCCCCTCCTCCTCCCCCTCCTCCTCCTATCCTCCTCCTCCTCCTCCTCTCCCCTCTTCCTCTCCTCCTCTATCTCCTCCTCCCCGTCCTCGTCCTCCTCCCTCCTTCCCCTCCTTCTCCTCCTCCTCCTCCTCCTCTCCTCCTCTTCCTCCTCCTCCTCCTCTTCTCCTCCTCCTCCTCCGGCCTGCTGCTGCTGCTGCTGCTCCTCCTCCTCCTCCGCCTACTCCTCCTCCTCCTCCTCCTTTTCCTTGACGCTTACGGAGCGGGGGCCGCGGGACGCCCCCCGCAGGCGGAACCCGGGACCTCGACGACGCGGTCCCGCACGGGCAGCGCCTCTAGCGGCGGCTCGCTCCACGGGCCCGGTCGCCCCAGGAGGCGCGCTTTTCCCGTCGTCGGCGCCGTCGTCTGTGGCCGAGCGTCGAGGGCAGCGCGTTCTCCCCTGAGCAGTGCTTGCACCTAGGGCGGAGAGGGAGGAGGAGGAGGAGGAGGAGGAGGAGGAGGAGGAGGAGGAGGAGGAGGAGGAGGAGGAGGAGGAGGAGGAGGAGGAGGCTGAGGAGGAGGCGGATTTTCTTATCTTGTTTAGAATGGACCGGACGGTCGTCGCCGCTCGTCGCCGCCCGTCGCCGCCCGTCGCCGCCGCCCGTATGGGCCTGTGTGCCCGTTCCCGTCGTCGACGCCGTCAGCTGGAGCCGAGCCACTTTGGCTCAGGGCGGCACCCAGGCAGCACTGTTCCCCGCACGTCCTGGTCGAGCTGCCCGCTCGGCTTCCTCCGCAGGACCAGCCTCGCGCGCACTCTGCAGCGGCCGGGATGGCAGCCGTGGAGCGCGTCGCAGCTCCCGCGTCCGCCTCAGCACAGAGTGCATGGCAGCGGGAACAGCGGCGCCGAACTGACGGCAAGATCTTCGCAGATGTAGAGAGGACATGAAGGATGCAGAGACCGACGACGGCATGGGCCTTCTCGATCTCGCGGGCGCGGTGGTGAAGCCCACTGCGGCGGCTGGCGAGCCCGTGGCACCCCCGGATTGGAGGCGCTCCCCGCGGTCAGCGCGGGCCGCTGCCGCCACCGCCGACGGGCCCCGCCCAACTGAGCCCAGCCAAGTTCACCATCGAGCCGATCAACGAGGGCATGGGTGCGCGAGTGGAGGGCATCGCGGCGCTGGTCACAGCCGTGCGCCGCTTGTCGGGGCCAAGCTGCGTGCTGCAGGAGGCGAGGCTGGAGGCGCTGGAGTTGGGGCGGGCGTCGTCGGCAGCCAGCGCCGCGGCCTCAAGGCCTGGCCTGGGCTCGGCGCCAGGTCAGCCTGACCCGTGCAGTTCCTACTTGTGATGGGCCTGTTTTCCACCACCACCACCAGCATAAATTGGCGGGGGGAAGGAGGTGGATGATGATGATGATGATGATGATGATGATGATGATGATGATGATGATGATGATGATGATGATGATGATGATGATGATGATGATGATGATGCTGATGATGATGCTGGTGATGGTTGTTGGTGTTGGTTGATGGTGATGGTGATGGTGATGGTGATGGTGATGGTGATGATGTGATGATGATGAAGAAGAATGATGATGATGATTGTGAGGAGGAGGAGGAGGAGGAGGAGGGAGGAGGAGGAGGAGGAGGAGGAGGAGGATGGTGGGGAGGAGAGGAGGAGGAGGAGGGAGGAGAAGGGGTAGGAGGTGTGGTGAGGAGGAGGCGGTGAGGAGGAGGAGGAGGAGAGAGGGAGGAGGAGGAGGAGGAAGAGGACCCCCTCCCCCTCCAACTTATGGTGGTGGTGGAAAGCAGGCCCATCATACTTGCAGCGCGGGGCGGCTCCGAGCGGGCAGGTTCCAGATGGAGCGGCGCCCGCGGTGCGATCGCATGGGCGGAGCACCAAACACGTTGTCTCCGTGGCAGGTTCAACAGACGCGCGGGGCAAGGAGGAGGTCGAACGC